CCGGAAAGTTTGTGCATCTGACCATACATTTGGATCTTGACCCATAGCCCACAAGTTACACAGAATCTGTGCGTCTTTTGGGATGATGTAGCCTTGGATTTCGACGTCGGCTATGGCTCTATGTGGGATTAGAAAGGTCACCGGAGGGTGTAGCCGGAGAGTTTCTTTGACGACGGCTTGTAAGTAAGGAAGTGTTGCGATGTCTGATTCTTCAATGGTTTTGTCTTCCTTTCCCATTACTTCTTCCAATTCGGATCGAGCTTTTGACATTTTCTCCGGGTTATGGATTAGCTCCGCCATTGCCCATTCCAACGTGCTTGATGTGGTGTCAGTTCCTGCAAGAAATAAATCCTGTACACCAATCATTCGCTCATGAATACATGCATTTCGTTAATTTTAAAATTATTGTATCTTGAACTTAAACAAGATTTACTTACAAAGAGCAAGTTTCGTATGTCATCGATGCTAATTGAGGATTTCTCATTTTCGGTAATGTCCAGAAGCAAATCCGTAAGATCTTTACTTGACGAAGGTCCATGATGATGAAATGAACTTGTTCTTCTTTCTTTCAACCGTTTGCTTATATGTTGTTCAAAGATTGCCATTAACTTCCCGGTATAAAAACTTGCTGATCGGAGCAACCCTTTTGGATCCAACGGACGAAGTACAGGAAAAAAATCGGCTAGATTAGGTGTTCCACCGACTTCCATCAAACCCCCAACGAGGTTCTTGAAATCTTGAGATGAGACAGAATCATACGCAGCTAAATCGATGGAGAAGATGAAGTTAGAGAGAACGTTAAGAGTTGTGGTAACTGCAGTTTGACCTATATTTACAGCTTTGCCATTCTGACAACAGTTGTTAACATAGTCAACAAGTTCTTGAACCTTTTTCTTGCGTAGGTGCTGACTAGCGTCAAGTTGGGTTATGGAGAACAAATGCTCTTTGGATATTTTTCGTAGCCTACGCCATTGATCTCCAACTGGTAACCAAACCATGGAGATTTTATGGCGATCGTGTGCATGAGCAGCATATGGGATTGATCTGCTGGAGAAGGAAATGTCATGTTTTGAAAAGAATTCTTGAGCGATTTCACGCGAGGAGACAACTATCATGGTGGTGCTACCGAGTTTTAGCGACATCAATGGTCCATATGTTTTTGAGAGGGTGGCAAGCGAGTGGTGTGGTTTGTTTCCGAGTTTAAAGATGCTTCCGATGACCGGAAGTGGGTATGGGCCCGGCGGCAGTCTGGTGGAGAGACGACGGTTGGATTTGGTGATGAAGATATAAACCCATGACAAAATGGGTAGTAAGATTAAGATGATTGTGTAGTCCATCTTGTTCTAATCATACTAAAATTGTTGTTCATCGATCATGGTGTTGAATTTATAGTGGAGGTTCTTATTGGAGTCAAGGATAGAGAAAAGGAAATCAATGGCAGAAAAGCTCACCTGTTCAAAGACAACGACAAGACTAATTCTTTTTTGAACCATAAAAGAAGTACTCGGTCCATCAATCGTCAGACGATGATACGAACATACTTAATGGTGAAATATAGAAAAGATCAAGTCAAATGAAATCTTACCTTTCTTCGATAAAAAAAATGATTTTAGTTGTTAACCTTTTGATTTAATTAATAAAATACCAAAAATAGATCGACTATATAACAAAATAACAAATTTTCAGATATTTTATAAAAATTGCACGCCTTTTCACAAATACTACTTGGTGACTCATGAAAAATTGTTGTGTACGTTTTCAATAGACAAAATGTTCGAACTTCTTGTCTCAATAAATATAGTGAAGGTTTGAGTGATCGATTCGTGCTAGTAGATGGCAACAAACTAATATCACAAGTTATATAAAATATATGTTGAAAATAATATTCCACAATAACTTCGCCAATCACGAATCCAAAAGCACTTTATGAAGTGGCCATTTTAACGTCTTTCATATACTTTGTAGTGATGTTCGTAGTTCTTTGAGTAAATGTAAACAAAATAGGATATTTTCTTGTTATCGTAGGTTAAGTTAAAGTAGTTTTTGAAAATTAAGGTTTTGCCAAATAAGAACCGTTTCATAAAATTTTAAATTGTTTCGTTACATTTTAACATTCTTCGCATATTTTCTAGTAACATTGTAGTTTGAGTATATATGGACAAAATAATTATATATCCTTGTTAATGTGTTGTTAAAACAGAGTACTTTTTGAAATTTTATGTTTTCACAACGAGAACCATTTTACAAGCTTCCAAATGTTTTGTGAAGCATCTATGTTAACATTTTTAAGTAATTTCTAATGATATTATATTTGTTTAAGTAAATGTGGGCATAATACCCGTATTGTTATAGCATGTTAAAATAGAGTAGTCATTGAAAATTTAGATTTCGTGAAACAATAAAGGTTTCACAAAAGTATAAATTTTACACTCATTAATACTCATTAATTGTAATTGGGAAAATGACATAAATGCCCCATAATCTTTCTAAGGTTTACACGTTGAGTTCCTAAAGTTTTTTGTCTGGCTTTATGGGTCCCTAAACTAGGATATGATATGCTCTTTTAGTCCCTGTCAAACTGTAATAGCCGGTTTAATAACCTTTTAGACAAAAAAAATAACTCATATTGTGTTCCTGTACAGCCAAAAAAATAAGCACAATGATCAATTCGTACAAAAAAAACTCTCATTTTCTCCTAAAGTCGATTCACACTCAATTCGTACTGATCCCTAAACTTATTTTTTTGGCTTTATAAGGACATAATATGAGTTTTTTTAGTCTAAAAAGTTACTGAATCGGCTATTACATGTTACAAAAACTAAAAAAGCAGGTCATATCCTTATTTAGGTTGCCATAAAGTCCGAAAAAAACTTTAGGGACTCAAAAGTAAACCCTAAAAAGTTCATAGGGCCTTTTGTGTCATTTTCCTATTGTAATTTTGTAGTTAAATCCTCTTTTTGTAGTAGTTTTACTAAATTTTATAGCTAAATCCTCTTTTTGTAGTAACAAAATTTTATAGTGTATCCATATTACATATACTAAAATATCTATTAATTACCTAATGGTAAAGATATGAATTCTATAATCATAAAAACTATTAACACCCTAGTTCGTTGACAAACATATATGATTAAAGTCTAAACTAAAAGTTCAAGTTGAAATAGCAAAAAACTTTAACACCCATCCTACGATCATCCAATCATGTCCGACAGTTTCACTTCCACCACCATTTTTCTACAATCATTCAATCAGGCCCCCACCATTTGTCGATTTCTATAAAAGTAGATGCAATGAGGTGACTAAGGATAACATAGTATCAATGTGAATCTATCATCAAATAATCAAAATTGATTTAACAACAAAAGAGTTTAAAAACTTGTTTTAAAATGTGAATAAAATACCGTTTTACCTAAATTTTGTATATGCCCTTGTTAAACGTCTAAATATCGTATTTGTCCAATCTAAACTTTAAATATCATATTTGTCCTTCTTAATCTCTTTAAAATATCAGATTTGTCCAAACCTATTTTTTTAATAGTTTCTAATATTATAATAATCTTTTTTATATTTTAAAATCTTTAAAATTGAAAGAAAAAATGGACGGTTTTGCCCTTTACTCCTAAAACACATGAAATCTTCAGAGTCTATGCTTTGCCCTTCTTTCCCATGATCGTCGTTGTTCAGTCTCGTCGTCTTCCCTTTTGTCTCTCACCACATTCCTTATTTTAGTCGTTAATAAACATCAAGTATGCTCTTCCTTATTTGACCCCATTTTTTGGCAACATAATCAACCAAGAGAAAGTATTACTCTAGGAAATCAATTTTAGTTGATTAATTGTAACTATTTAGGGTTTTCAAAACTTTGAGAATGTGTGATCAATTACCACTTTGACTACTTTCAACATTTTTACCCAACACTGTAAAAAACAAAACAATTCTCAAAATACAAGACAAAATAAGACACGAATTAACAAAAGCATTGATGTAACTTTTTCTTCCATTTGCAATAAGCCTTCAGTGTACTTCCACGAGCAATGACTTTGGCTGTTCTAATATGCTATTCTTTTTCTCCACATTCTTCTTATTCTTACAATAACAAATCATAGTTGTATCGGTAACTAAAGTAAATAATTATACTTAATAATAGTTTTTGGTGAATTAGTTTCACGTGATTGGACTTATGTTCTTGAGAGCACTAATTTTCATTTGTTAATCATGTCATTCAGTATGATTCTTCGTATTAAAAATCACTTTGATTATCACAAACCCAATACACAGTAACACAAACAATTTAATTTGTTTATTATTGTCCCTATAAATTTATCAATTGTATTATCTTATTGATCAAGATTATATTGAATATTCGATGACTATTATATGTTAACTTATATAGTTAAGTCTTATTTTAATCTTTTAGTAAAATGACTACGTGTTATTCTGCTCAATAAGTAATTATGTTCAAACATTCCAAATTATTTTCACACTTTTTTTTCCAAGATTGGAACCAAATTGGAATTGAGATTTTTTTAATGTTGTGCAAAAATGATAAATAGGGATGCATGGTTCTAAGTAACATTTCATTTAAGATGTACGTAACCATTTAGGCTCATTTTTACCACTGATATGTATAAGGTCAACATGCGTTACATAGTAAACATTTTACTTTGCATTTTGTCAAGTATCCCAAGTGTCTCATCTGTCACTTGTGTGTGTGATTACACTTTAAATAAACTCATATGTACCTTCAAAAACATCTCTTGCCATGATATCCCGCTTCATTAGTAATAACCTAACAAAAACACACATCTTTAAATCACAAATACCTTAAAAAAAAAACACCTCAAATATTATCTTATTACCTCATATCCCCAAATTAGGTCCACCTCATTCATGTGATTCTCACTATTTGCATTCGAATTCCTGATTTTATATACAAATCAAGAGACATTCTCTTTCCATGCATTTTTTTATTCTCTTTGTACTTCACTCATGTATTACATTCAGCTAGCAGCTTCTCTCACTTCACTTAAATATGTCACAACTGAAGTAGCAATACCTTCTTTCACCATTTTCTCTTTCAATTTCACTACCTCACAACTCTTCCCATTCTTATCACATCCATCGATCAAAATATTATAAGTAATAACATTTGGATCCACCCCTTTTGACCTAAGTTTATAAAATAGTCTCAATGCTCTATCAACATTCCCTGATTTACACAACCCATTTATCAAAGCATTATATGTAGCAATATCAGGAACAAGACCTTTTGTCAACATCTCATCACGCAAACTAAAAGCCTCATTAACTTCACCATTACTCGATAAAGCATGAATTAGGGTACAATAAGTGAAATTATCAGGAACAAATCCTTTCTCTAACAACACAGAAATGAATTTTTTTGCATCATCAGCTTTTCCAACTTTACACAACCCTGCAATTGCTACATTGTACACAACATTGTTTGGAAGAAAAGTGGATTCCACAACTCCATTAACAATGTTAAAAACTTTTTGGAAATTTACCTTTTTCATATCCCACTCGAAGAATTTCTCAAGACTTTTGTCCTTTGGTAAAAGATCAAAATCCATTATCTTGTGAAGTAACATGTTTGCTTCATCAATCATGCCATTTCTATAAAGTGAACTCACCATTGTGCTACATATGATAACATTAGGAGTAAAACCCTTTTCTTTCATTTCAGAATATGTAGTGAATGCTTTATCCAGCTTCCCTTCTTTACACCAACCAGAAATTAGGGCACCATATGTTACAATGTTGGGGATTATTCCTCTGTTATGCATCTCACCGAGTAAATCTGTGACTCTCTTCATCTTCATTTTCCCACATCTAAAATATCCAGTGATAAGAGAGTTATACATTTCAATAGACAAAGGGATAGATTTTGTATCCATGGTGTCCTTGATTTCAAGAGCCATTTCCATGTTTCCAACTTTACAGTACCCATCAACAAGGGTATTATAGGTAATTTTGTCTGGTGGACAACCGAGTTCTTTCATCTTATCAAAGACTTTTTCTGCTTCATCCATTTTTCCCATTTTGCATAGTCCATTAAGCATTATATTAAACCCAATTACTGGTTTAATAAACCCTTTAGCTAAAAACTGTTTCCATAACATCAAAACTCCTTTAAAAGTCTCCAACTTTAAAGAGACAATGAAGTAGAGTACCATATCCAACTTCATTAGGTGTCAAACCTCGTTTTATCATGAGATGCCAAAGTTGTAAAGCCTTGTTGATGTTGTTATCTTGGCAAAAAGATTTCAAAAGGGTATTATAAGTTACAATATTTACATCTATGCCATCATGAACCATCTTTTCACAGAGATCAAAAGCCTTGGATATAAAACCTTCCCTAAAATACCCATCTATCAAAAGTATTATAACAATAAGAATCTGGCTTTAACTTCAACTTACTCATACTTTTTACCATTTTTGCAGCTTCATTGACTTGGCCTAGTTTACAGTATCCATTGATCATCGAATTGCAAATAAACAAGTTTAACTTCAATCCTGCTTTTAACATCTCGCTTTGAATTCGAACAGCATGATTCATCTTTCCTATTTGACAAAACCCATCTATCAAAACACCATAAGCTTGTTCATCTAAGATGAATGATGGATTCTCCTTTTTCATGTCTTTAAGCAACTTTTCAGCTTCTTCCATTTTCCCTTGTTTGCAGTATCCCTTAATGATCAGAGTATATGTAACCACATTCTTGAACACATGTCTATTATTCATCAATCTCAAAACTCCTTTTGCACTTATGAGATCACCTATAGAAACATACCCGTTGATCAAACTATTGTATGTTACTATGTTAGGCTCCACACCAATGTCCTCCTCAATCTCTCTCATGAACTCTGCAGCTCTTCCCACTTTCCCATCTTTACAGTATGCGTTCACTATAATACTACAAGTGCATACATCAGGCACAAGTCCAATCGTGTTCATCTGATCATAGACTACAAAAACGGAATGAAACTCTTTCTTCCTAACCAAACCACTCAGTAAACCATTACAAGAATGCAAACTAGGCACTCTTCCCAACCTACACATTTCATCGAACACGTAGAGTGCATTCTTTGTCAACCCTTTTTCCGCGTACAACTTCAAGATGATGTCGAACACCGTAGGAGAAAATCCAAATTCCCGATAAAACCTAACTAACTGATGCCAAATATACAAACCCAAACGACTATCTTCCTCACAGAACCCAACTAGTACCCTCAAATGCGCTCTCGTTTCATCGAACATACGCGCCCTCGACAGAATGTGAACTAATCTACAATATGATTTAACATGGGGTCTAAATTTCTGCTGCTTCGAAGCTAGTTTAAAAAAATGTAAACACGCGTTTGGGTTTAATTTTAGTTTGGTTAAGACTTGGTTTAAAAGGTCGTCGGAGAAGTCGAAAGAAAGGGTGGATATCGCGGTGAAGCGGCGGAGTACGAGGAGACGGCAAATGCGATCGACTAATTCGGATTGGGACAAGTCGGATACGTCCCGGAGCTGCTTCGATTGGTGAATTGAGAGTCGATGGTTGAAGAGAGAACATACGCGAGCTGCCGCAGTCGCATGGAGAGTGTATCTGAGCATTGAAATTTGTTGTCAGCGCTGAAAAGTACCACAGTACACAACCATTTGGCCCTCTATGTTTTATACTAACTTCACTTTTATAACAAACAGGCCCCTCATATTTAAAAATTTAATGGTATAATGACTTATCAGGGAAATAATCATGGATTTTTTTTGTTTATCATTTATCATTGAACTGATTTATGAGTTTAAAATAATACCATTATGATTGGCTATTCGAGGTTTCCGACAACTTTGTTATATCCGACGACTTTACGGCCAACATTAGTTTTCCAATGAATCTCCAACAAAATATAGATAAAGATCAGTTGTTTCAAAGGCTCTTGTGTGTTTGTTCATCTTCGTATGTTCAAGAACATATATTGATGAACTCAAACTCAAACGCTAGAATATTGATGAACTTAAAAAGAATAATATTAAATAAAAACAAGACAAGAACATATCTAAAAACAAGAAAACCCTTGAAATCAAATGCCATATCTAAACTCGAAGGCTTTAATCTGAAATCAAAGAGCTAGAATAGAAATCAAAAACCCTTGAAATCTAAAGGGTTTGAACATAAAGCAATTCCACTAACACAAACATGAAATCGATTCTAGAACTCGGTCTTTTGCAGATTTTTTTTCAAATTCGAAAAACCTTATGATCGTGTTCTTCAAGTACAAAAAAGCGACTAAATGTAAACAAAAATGTGTTTGTTACCCTCCTAAGTCATTATCCTGAATTTTCATAATCAATTTGGTGATGTTCTTCTTATAATATGTTAGGGGAAAAAACACAAATCTAGCCACTATAGCTTAAGGTTTGCCAAACATATTGAATTCCTACCATTGATGTCTCATATTCAGCGTTCTTGGACACCTTGGGAGAGATAAAAATATCTCCTAGATTGTTGTGTCCCGGAAGTGGTAGATTTCTGAGTAGGACCCTCGTATACTAATCGGCTTTTACCATTGTTTGATTGATTCCATGCATCAAATATGTGTCTCGGATATCACTGTTAGCAAATTGTGACAGACTATGCCAAAATTAATTGTGGGGGTAATGGTTTTTATAATGAAATCGTGGTAACATAAACATTGAATTATATTATGTTTGAATAAATCAAATGGTGGTGGAACTTGTGAACCCGTAGCATAGCTTTACTCTTGCTTCAGTTTGAACTCGTCTTTTAAGCCCTATCACAACTTGAAATTGAGACGAAACCGGAAAAATGATGTGAAAAATGAGAAGGTTGAAATGGTATTTATATGGTTGATTTTGTATTGTAAACCCGTCTTTTTAGCCTTGTCAGGTAACATGTTGATACCATTGCATCCTAATCCTCACCCGCTTCTTTCCTGTGACCACTTTGTATGCTCATATGGATGGAAAATCCTTAGAGTGTGTTTGGTTGCAAAAAAAATTATAACTTTCCATGAAAATTTTCAAATGAAATGAAAATTTTAAAAACGCGTTTGGTTAATTAGGTTTTCAAAAAAATTCTAAAAAAATGAAAATTTTCTATTTTTTAAATTGCATGTAAATTATAAAAGTGATTTTTATAGTTTTTCAAAGTTTTCTAAATTTCTAAGATGAAAAATGTTCTCCACCGATTCTAACCAAAGGCTTTTTCTATAATTTTCATTGAAATTTGAAAATGAAAACTAACTCTATTAACTAAAAACGGTTTTCTACAACCAAACGCACCCTTACTATTTCTTAAAAAAAAATAACTTAAGAAAAATAACAATTTTTTTAAAAAATGCAATTAAGTCTTTGAATTGTTTTAATGTGAGTTAAGAAACTCGGTGCACCTATTTTGTATAATTAAATGCTCGTGATTCATAAAAAAAAAAAAAAAAATAAGTGATGTCGGTGATAACATTGTATGTTTGACTAATTGACTTTATAGAAATGCTTAATTAATAATTTAATAGAGTAAATTACACGGATGGTTCCTATGGTTTAGGATAATTTGCGTGTTTGGTCCCTAACTTACTTTTTTAACTAGGAAGGTCCATACTGTTTGTTTTTGTTATACGTTTGGTCCCTGTCTTACCTAAAAATACTATTTTTCATTTGATTTTTTAATTTATTTAAATAAACACACCCCAACCCCACTCCCCTCACCTTATTTTACCTACCCCACCATTTTTTCCTATATAAATAATATTTTTTTTTAAGTAAGACAGGGACCAAGCGCATAATAAAAACAAACAGTAGAGACCAAGTGCGCAACAAAAACAATCAGTAGGGACCTTCCGAGTTAAAAAAATAAGTTAGGGACCCAACGCGCAAATTACCCCAAACCATAGGGACCATTCATGTAATTTACTCAATTTAGTATGCATCAATTGTAAGACATTTTTGTACACGGTGCCTCTTGTAAGAGTCAAGATCTAAATGTGTGGTTAACATTTTAAGCATTATATTAGTATGAGAATTTTTCATCTCATGCCTACTCTTTCCTGTCATTTAGTAAAAACTTCCCCCAACAAAGAGTTGATTTCATGGGATATGCCAAACATACCTTCAATGGCTTCTTCTTCAACTTTATCCATCCACAAGAGCTATCAATATGATGTCTTTTTGAGCTTTAGAGGTGAAGACACCCGTAAGACCTTTGTTGATCATCTATATGCTGCTCTTGAGCGGAGCAGAATTCACGCCTACAAGGATGATGAAAGACTCCAGAAAGGAAAAAAGATCGATGAAGAGCTCTTGAAGTCGATTGAAGATTCAAAAATCTTTATTATTATTTTCTCACTGAACTATGCATCTCCATCTTGGTGCTTGAGGGAGCTTGTCAAGATTATGGAGTGCCAAAAATCAAATGATCAGTAGTCTGCTTACCGTGTGTTCTATGATGTGGAACCTTCTGAAGTCTGAAAACCAAATTGAGCATTTGCAGAAGCCTTATCCATACATAAAATGGAATAGGCTACTGTGAAATGGAGAGAGGCTCTCGGTGAAGCAACCAATCTAGCTTGGTGGGAATTAAAGGACACTTCTAATGGGTAATTCCTTCCTCATATTTGTAATATTCTTTCATTTTGTTTCTTTCAAACCAATGTGTAGACTAGGATGTATAACAGTATAAGGGTTATCACTAGCATCTCATGTTGTGTTATCAAATTCTAATTCAAAGTCCTAATGATAGATGAAAAATAAAGTATGTGTATGTTAGTGTTCAACTTAAGTGAGTATGCCATAGACCCAAAAACTAATTTTTCATGTATAGGATCTTGATCATCAAGCTAACTGAATATTCTCTAATCTACAGGTATGAAGCTAAAGTCATCGAAATTATTGTTGAACAAATTTTGCTGAAATTACGTTCCATTCATTTTAGCGATGATGAAAATTTAATAGGCATGCATCATCGAGTGCAGGATGCAGAGTCGTCTTTACAAATCGATAATTTGAATGTTGTTCGAATGATAGGGATCAAGGGAATGGGAGGTAGTGGTAAGACAACTCTTGCTAGATCTATTTTTGATAAAGTATCAACTCAATTTGATGGTATAAGCTTTGTTGAGAATGTGAGGGAAGTTTCTAAAGGGCATGGTTTGCAGTCTTAGCAAAAACAAATCATTTCAGACATATTACATTATCAAGGCTACACTGTAAATAGTGTACATGATGGGAGAAAAATGTTAAGTGAGAGGTTGTGCCATAAAAAAGTTCTTGTGGTTCTAGACAATGTAGATCATATAAGTCAGCTTGAAGCGTTAGCTAGGGCTACTAATTGGTTTAAGCTGGGAAGTCGAATTATTATTACAACAAGAGATGAGCAGTTGTTGAAGGCACATGGAGTAGATCTGATTCATAATGTCAATCTATTAACTAATGCAGAAGACATTACTCTTTTCAATAGATATGCATTTGGGACAGTTCTTCTATTTAAAGGGTATGAAAATCTATCACTTGAAGTTGTACGTCATGCTGTTGGTCTTCCCTTAACAATCAAAGTTTTGGGGTTCTTTTCTCTATGAGAAAGATGAGCTTGAATGGAGGGATGCACTTAAAAGACTCAAAAGAATTCCACTTAAGGAAACCTTGGAAAAATTGGAGTTAAGCTATATCGCACTAGAGGATGACTACAAGGAAATATTCCTTGATGTTGCATGTGGACTAAAAGATATGTTCAAGGAGGATGCAATTAGAATATTTGAAAGCTGTGGATTTCATGCTAGAATTGGTTTAAGAGTTCTTGAGGAAAAATCTCTCATAACTAGTTCAAGTATGTTCTTGCACATGCATGATCATCTACAAGAAATGGGAAGGAATATTGTTCGTCGATTGCACCCTGATTATCCAAGAAGACATAGCCGATTGTTTATTCATGAGGGAATTGAAGATGTATTGGCTAACAACTTGGTAAGGATCATGATACTTGTGCTATAGAAAACTATATAAGATTGTGTTGTGCGTGCATAAGTTAGTTTATTGCAATTTAGTGTTTTGTGAGACCACTAAAGTAGATTATAAACTAGCTTTTCAAATAGTGTGTCAAACATGTACACAACCTAAATCATTTTCATTAGATACGACATAAGTTTGATGGCCATTGTTTTTTGATCGTAGGGCACTGAAGCAACAAAATCTATAATAATTTCAGAGGAGCTCCGTCCTGAAATTATTATGAGAGGTCTAGGAAAAATGAAGGAACTTAGTGACATGTGTTATGGTTCTGAATATTGTTGGATTACTGTTGATTGGAAATTCAATCAAGTTAGCCAATACTTTCCAAAAGCTTTAAGATATCTTTGTTGGAGAGCTTACCCTTATAATTATTTACCAAAAACGTTTCAAGCCAATAATCTTGTTGTGCTTGACATGAGTTTAAGTGGAATCGTAGAACTTTGGAAAGGAGAACAAAAGGTAAAATAATGTTCTTTCCAATAATAATGTTGTGCATTTTACCTAGTTTTTTTTTTTTTTTTTTCTAAATTACACCATTGTCTAAGCGACATTGTTAAGTTGTGGAGACGGATTATCCCTTCAAACTCATTTTTTTGTTTGCTTGCAACAGGTTCTCAACAAGCTTAGAATCCTTGACCTAGGTTTTACAAAGTTGAGGACCCTTGACCTTGGGATGGCTCCGAATCTTGAGAGGTTAATACGATAATTTGGTATAAGTTCACGTGCCCACTGGATGTGGAAAAAATCTAGTGTACTTGAACCTAGATTTCTGTACGAGATTGAGATCTCTCTCATTTATCAAGCTGTTGGAATCAGTTGAGGTTCTTGATCTAAATGATTTATCTTTGTGGGAGTTCCCAGATCTAATTGTGGACTTACGAGAGCTTAAGTTTTCAAAGAACAATATTGAAGAACTACCCTCATCAATTGGATCCCTAGATCTCAGTTCTTGCAGAGATCTGAAGAGTCTTCCAGTAAGCCTTTGTAGTTTACAACATTTAAGGCATCTTAACCTCAAGGAGTGTGCCATAGAGGAACTTCCTGAGGAGCTTGGAAATGGTAATGAAAGTACACCAACGGATAACTATTTATTTTTTTATATTTCTTTTGCAAAATACCAACAGATATCATTTTTGTAAAAATGTGAGTCATTCTTCTTTTATAGCAACCAACTATTCCAATGTCTGATACTCTGATTAAATCTTTAATTTTTTACACATGAACTCCCACTTAGCTACTGTTTTAGTGTCTATTATATTTAGAAGTGAAATTGCAAATAAACAGCATCCTTACAAAAATTATTAGAAAATAATACAGTTTCACGATTCACAAAAATTGAACAGAATATTGAAGTCAAAATTGATCATTCTTAAGAATGGCAGTGTAGTTTTTTTATGTTTGACTATAAAACTAAGATTTCTAACCTTAAAAATGTTTACTTCTCTGTATAAGCTTTCTGAACTTCTGAAATATCCATCTCAGAACATTCTGGAATCAATTCATCTTCAACATCACTACTCATCATATCATCTTCTTGATCAATCCGAATAGTCTTCTCATCATCAGAATCACTCTCAAACAAATCATCATCCTCCAAATCATCAAAATCATCAAAAGTTTCAATCTTTTTCTTCCTTCCTCTATAACCAGTAAGACTCACAACTTTCTCCTTCCAAACAACCAATGGACATTTCTCAATCAATTCAGAACCTTCATAAGCTTCTGTCAAGAACACACTAAACCTTTTCCCTCTTTCAGAAACATAAAAAATCCCAAAATGCTTCAACAAGATTCTCATAAGCTTCTGTGGCATCACAAATTCTCTTCTAAAATGAGTCAAATGATCAGTAACTAATCGTTTCTCATTCATAAAACTCAACACTTCATGCATTACTGCAATTGCTCGTTTATCAAACTCTACAGATCCAGCTTTAAGCTCTTTAGCATCTGCATAAGGAGAAAGATATTCCCTTTTTTGAAAATTCTCAATCTGCCCTTTATATCTATACACTTTCTTGTAATCAGGAGGGAATTTCATTGGAAATGGTAATGAAAGTACACCAGGGGTATAATCGTCTGCTTTTGTGATACCTAAAACTTTTTTCTCTACTTCAGTAACACACCAGTTTGGGTTCCAAGAAACAAGCTTCAAGAACTCGATTTCATCTTCGTTTTTAAAAACCCTAAAAATTTCAGGATATTTATGCACCCAATGTTTCCTAAAATCATAAGGCAAACCCAAATCCCTCCTAAAATGTGCGATTTTATCTAAAGGAAGAGTCTTTTCAACTGACATCATCAAAAGCCTTGTTACATGTTCAACAGCTTTCTCTTCATTTTCTGCTATTAATCTCTCTTCTTCTTCGATTAATTCTTCACCTTTTTTTGTTAAGCCAACCCATGTTATACCCTTTTGATCCTTATACAACTCAAATAACTTTGGGGATTTTCGAATGAAGTCTGATATTTTGTGGGGTTTTGGCAAGTTGAGAGGGCGTCTGTGTTGATCAAGAGATCTTATGGGTATGATTTGTTCGGGTTCATGTTTTAGTAGTTCCAATAAAAACAAGATTTTGGATGCGATTTTGTGTTTTTCAACTGCAACTTCAAGGGCGTGGACTCGTTTCTTTTGGCTTCGATCTTGAACTCGTTTGCTTGTTGTCATCGATTGTAGATTTGAGGCTATGAAGTAAAGATTTTTCAATGATTTGGTGAAGTTGTTTGGAGGTTTGATCAGTTGATTTGCCATTGAGTTTGTGAGAATTGGAGTGTTGATCAAGTGTTTGTAGAAATGCCTGACTGAATCAACCTTATGCAACAAAGAGGTTTCTGTGCAATTGATTTGATTGAAATTGAATGGGTACACTGGCAATGTCCATTCTGAAAGAAACAAACTCAAACAGTTAAATGAGAGATTCTTGAAATGTGATACAAGAGGACAAGAAGACGGTTTTAGCCTTTTGAGTTATTTCAATTCAAACCAGATTTCAAATGTAATGAAACGGAAGCCTTTAGGCCTCTGAGATATTGAATCAACAACTATCGAGTGTTGATGTAAATCAATACAATTCAATTCCAGTATCAAATGTGTGTGAAAGAATCTAACTAATACATTTGGTGTGTTTTCATAGCATTATAAAGTTAACAGGTAAGAGTTGAAAAGCAACCCGCATGTTCACTTGGGCATTTACACAAACAGATTGTGTGCAGGTTTTTTTAGAGCTCCAGCAGACATGTGTCAATACGAAAAAGGAAACAGAGCATTATATAGAAATCACAACAGTATGACTGTAACAGTGTTTGACATCAAAAACTTATATATAGTACACAAACAAGCATCAAAATTGGAATGAAAAATAGAAGGCCTTATGTTTGGTAAACCGAACCGAAAGATTTGAGCTATGTAGACGTACGTACTTTATGAAAAGGGTAAAAGAAACGTGTTGATAATTCTCGTCTTTGAAGGTGTTAGGGTTTTGGAAGTTGGAACCCTGAAAATGCAAATTATTATAAGTTAAAGCCGTGGAGATCTTCAACAAGACTGCAAGACGTGCCTGAGATAATTGATAACTTAGGTTTCCCCTGATTATATCTCTGATCGCTGCTGTGGGGAAAGAAGACGGCGGCGTCGGTGGCTACTGGGAAGGAGAAGCGTGGCGCCCGTGGCGGGGAGGGAAAGAAGAGGGTGGCGATGGAGGCTGTTGTTGACGTCGCTGGAACGAGGGGAAAGGGAGAGTCAAAATTTTTGGTAAGCGATTGTGTGGTCATGTTGACTGAACGATTCAGTAGATGAGAACAATGTGAGCACCTGAAGAAACACGTGTCTTATGGCCGATAAACGAACGAATGTGATGAATGCTACTTGTCATCGGGTTCAGGGATGATGACCTAGATCCAATCAGAAATAACCATCATTCATAAAGCCTATAAATTTGCCATAAAAGTAAGTGAGAAGATGAAAACTGAAATTAACTCATCTTAGACAGACTACGTTTTGAGGATATGAAGCTTAAGATAAAATCAATAGGATGCGAGTTTGTAATGTATCAAGATGAATTTATCAAATTTAAAGATAAATGTGAAATGTATAACAACCACTGAAGCCAAAATTAATGTTTTATATCATGCCATAGATATTCTAGAAGCAATTGAATGGATGACTCATAATTTCGTCATCCTTGGTCCAAAACATTTGGTCTCGGAAGCGAGTTTCTAAAATCTATTGTTCGTCCCTTGAAAAAGTTACAAAATCTAACTTTTATGGGAGGCATTACGAACCACAAACATTCAGATACCCATGTCTCACCATATTTACCCCTTCCTGAGACCTCGAACCACTTTCAATCTCTGATTCCCGAGTTTCAACCCACAGTTGTCAAATGTCTTGATTTCACACATCTTCCACCTCTGATACACTTGGACTTGAATCAGACCTCGGAATCATTCCCTAGCATCACCCATACTAGAGTTTAGATTCCGAACTTCAATCCTCTTAACAATTGTGTTTTTTGAGGAAATAATTCCAAAGACAACTGGAACTGACTCTGATAGATCAGATTTTGTTTGGGCATCTTTAGATAATGATGTTGAAGAAGCAATCTTAGGTGATTATTCATCCGACTCGTATGTTTCTAACTCTCAAGTAATTTCAAAAACAACCCTAGTGCCAATTAAGTCTAAGTTTAACAACCCATCAATTGGCCAAACTTCCAAGTCATCATTTGACTCTCGGAAGAAACCTTCGTTAAATAGGAAAGATGTCGTCGATCCTAAGATTGAAGCCAAAAATGCCCTCAAAAAGGAAATTAGGTCAAGACATGATTCCAGATTCATCGAGAATTTCAAAAAGAAAGTATCTCGGATTGTTAGCTCATCCACTACGAACCACAACACATTTGTGCATGTTAAGATTCTTAAAAGATCATCCAATGCTCCTAGTTTGGTAGCTCAAAACAAGGTTGTTAGTCCCATTCCGAAAAAGACTATTGTTGATACTCATCCCATTAAAACTAACTCTCCTCGGACAGTTTCCTTTGTATTTATTGCTAAATCTGATGGTACGATTTTCAAACCACAACAGCTTTCAAAACTAAATGTGCCATCAAAAATAGCGAACAAAGAACGAGTTGCTAAGAACACTGTTACTCAAAAAATTTCAATAATTCAAAGCAAAATTTTGAGAGGAAAGTAAAAAGTGTTGAAAAAGAAACTACAACTTCAAGTGACATTGTGATTCCTACAACTCCGAAAATTGTTTGCCCGAGAAAAGTTGTTCCTAAACAACATGTTGTTGAATATGATTTTTAGATCAATGAAAAGATCATGGCTCTTTTCTTCTTTCCAAAAGTATCTCGGAAAAAACCCTCTAAGACATTCGTGGCTCAAAAGTCATAACCCAAGTCCAAAGCACGTACCAACGTCCCAAAAACTAACTCGGAGCCTAAAAACTCCAAAATGCACCGATTTTGCAGGCACTTTGTGCTTCGGAACAAGATACAATATGAGATATTGATATTGCTTGTTCCATGCACATGACGGGGCAAAAAGACTTTATGTGTGATCTCAAACTCTCTCCAAATGTTGGCTATGTGACGTATGACAACAACTCCAATTCTTAGATCTGAGGTTATGGCATCCTCAAAAATGGCAATTTCTCTGTCTCAAATGTGGCATATGTAGCTGACCTGAAGCACAATCTGATTAGCATAACTCAACTCACTAACTCTAACCAAAGAGTTGAGTTCTGCGAAAAGCATAGCTACGTCATGACAGAAGATCGGAAAGAATGTCTAATCAAATCAAATCGCAACAAGAACATGTATCCTCTAGACATCAACATGATCATTGGCAAGACTCGACTCTGTCTATTCTCAAAGGTCGTTCATGATGTCAGTTGGATATGGCATCGAAGGCTTGCTCATCTAAACTTCCGATATATGAATGATCTTGTTTCCTGTGAAATGGTCAAAGGTCAGCCGCTCCTCAAGTTCGAAAATGATCACTTGTGTGTTGCATGTGAAGGTGGGAAGCAATCAAAGAAAGGTCATCTTGTTATTATCGAAAAATAAATTTCGGAACCATTAGAACTTCTACATATTGATCTTTGTGGACCCTCTACTGTAGAAAGTCTGCATCACAAAAAGTACATTCTTGTGACTGTTGATGATTTTACAAGGCTCACATGGGTCTTCTTCCTTACGACGAAATCTGAGATAGCCTCGGAACTTATTAATTTTATCAAAGGAATTGAAGTCCTCGTCAAGCTACCTGTAAGACGAATTTGGAGTGATAAGGGCTCGGAATTCACCAATGTCACCATTGAGAAATTCCTCTTCGATAAAGGCATTGACTACAATTTCTCTGCTCCCTACAATTTCTCGTTGAAGCTGCTCGATCGATGCTCAACTTTGCAAATCTTCCACTTTATCTTTGGGATGAAGTTGTATCCACTGTCTGCTTCACTCAAAATTGAAGTATCATCAATCGACGCCTCAACATGAGACCGTATGAAGCCATGAATGGCCGCAAACTAAGTATCTCATTATCAAAATTGGGCCCAAATCCAATTTGTTACGAGATACTTTTCGATTTTAGTCCCCTACTAGCTTGATCCAAAACTAAGGCCAAAAACCATAAACTATAAGGCCCAAAACCAAAAGATCCACAAAGGCCCACTTATAGCCCAATTTTCCAAATTAGGCCCAAACCCCCAAATAGGCCCTTCCCTAAGGCCCATTAAAATTCCTTAATCCAAAAGCCTAATTTCTGATGGACTGAAAGGCCCAAAGCAATAAACTCCAAGAAATTGGCCCAACCCGAGGCCCAAACACAACCAATCCTAACTGCCTGAGTACGCGGGGCGTACTCAGCTGTACTCTAAGCATACACGTTGCATGGCTTGTACGCCCAGCGTACGAGCTTGTACACCCATCGTGCTCACCCATTAAGCCTTTTCTCCAATAAGCCTTAACCACTTAAGTCCAATAGTCCCAATCACAGATCTGAGTCATATAAAACATCTTAACCCATAAAGTCGACAACTTGGTGGTTTTGCATGCCCCAAATGGGCCCAAACTCGAAATATAACAATATACTTCCATAAAAATGGCCATTACTCATGCATGGTTGGATTAAAGCTTCAAAGGTTGGAACTTTATGACTGTAGGACCCAAAGAACACCAAGAGTAACACTAAGCTTCAGAAACGGGAATAATCCATAAGAGCTCATCTATGGGACCAAAAAGGGTCCAAAAGAAAAAAAACATGGAGATCTAACCTTCGAAAGATCAAGATCAAGACTTTATACCTTTCACAAGCTAGAAATGGAGCAGATAATCTAGATCTACAAGCTTCTCCTTGAACCACCACCTTGCTCCAACCTTCTCTTCCTTGAAAATGGGACAAAACATAACAAAAAGCACTCAAAAGACCTTCCAATCTCAAGAACACTAAACAATGGGGTTAGGGTTTCGTGGAGGCTATTTAAGGACAAGAGGGAGGTTGATAAAGAAGAATCATATGTCATAATGTTCTTTAAATAGTGCTCAAACCCTGAATATTATGGTTTTGGGGACTGGACACGTATGTTGTGCTACCCCTTTGTACGCAGCGCGTACATGCATGGTACCCACGATCATTTTGCATCAGTACGCTCAACGTACATAGGGTGGTATGCCCCGCGTACTGCACACCCTAAGCCCAATAATAAAAGATCCAATGATTTAAGGCCCATCTCATAACAATTAAACA